AACTAATTGAATTAATAGAACATGTTAGTAAGAACTTGTTGCTATTTTTTTAGTTAAAGCAATTTTTCCCGCATCGACGTGGACGATGCCTATCCCGCATCCTCGTCGTCGAGTCGCTGGAGGACGACACCTGCTTGACCAGATGGGCCATGTCCGGGACTGGGCTCCGCCGGGATGGTACTGGGAGGCGCTACCTACCGGGGGGCGCAGGATGGTGAGGAGCCAGCCTGTCGTTGACCCGGACCTTCTTTGGTGGCGGTCGCGTGGGCCAGCGATGGTCCAGAGGCTCGAGATCCCCGCGGAGGTGGTGCGTCACCGTGTCAGTGAGGAGGACGCGCACGTCCGTCGCTACTTGTTTGCGTTGGAGCACAGGTTCTCCAATACCTGGCAGGTTCTCCAGGGATCTCACTGGAGCTATGATCCCGTGATGGTTCCTTCTCTGTGGGTGTCCACCGCCCGCGCCGATACCCCTCGTGTGCTAGGGTTTTAGTTGTATTAGTGATGTTATATGTATGACACAATTCGGATTGTATTAGTGATAATATCGACGATGTACGAACACGCATGAGATGATTTACTTTTGCTTATTCAATGCATGCTAATTTGAGTCCTATAAGATATTTTGAAATGTATATCTTGTGTTGCTCAAATATGATATGTGCTTGCCCAAGTGGCCGGTCATGTTTGCAGGTTACACCTCCGAGTGGCCTATGTTTTGCCGGAGTGTTGATTCATTTCCGTTCTGGCAAATTTCAGGCGCTCGATATGTCCTATTTTAGCAAAGGTCATGCCGGATTTTTCTGTGAATTTTGGCATGACTTGTGCCAGAATATGTAGGAAATATCGAGTGCCCCGGATTTGTGTGTTGAGTATCATGGTACTTGTCTTCGATCGATTTTCAATTAATGTTTTAACGATGAACATAGGAAATGTCTGACGACGAAAAGGATTTCGGTATTTGCAAATACTGCAAAGACGAGCGCGGCCTGTGCGACAGAATCTTCCTAGATGATGATAGGCGCTTCAGCATCAAGCTTGACAAGAACTTCGAAGTGGATACAGTAAGTCACAACGACAAGTCTTTTTTCGTAATTAAGCATGACATATGCTTCATTTGCTTCAACTTATAATTTGTTTTTACTATTCTACTAGCGTATCCCCTGCCATGCAAGAGTTTTTGTATTGGATAAGATAGGTTGCAGTCGTACTATGGAGGTAAAGAAATTTTACTTGAAGACCGAGCATGGTTATATTTTCCACATAAAATTATACAATTCAGACGACTACACCTATTTTAGATGCAAAACATGGCGAGCACTATGCAAGACTTATGCATTTGAGCCTGATATGGTTATCACCTTTGATATTTGTCCGGAAGATGATATTGAAGGTAATACCAACATCTGGGTCGATGTGCAGACGCCTCCAGTTATACCAAAATGTGAGTTTCTCAACCATATTTATGTCTTTGATATTGTTTATTCAAAAATAGTTGACAATTAATTTCTATTGATAGCTTATCTCGGTGCAAGCAAACATGTCCAGCGCTTGGTAGACAGGACCGTATACTGTGCCGGGGCTGAACTCAACTGCGAGGAGCTTAGTCATTATGTTTCATGGCTTGCGGATCTTGATACTGTCAAGACAAATTTTCTTCCTGGATTTAGAAATGTTAATACTGAAAACATGCAACCAATAGTGTTCGTACTGAACTACGGTCACATCTATTTAGGAAGGATGGTAAGATTTTTAATATTTGTCCTCAGTGCATCTTTTCCATACATTATTTTTGAAGCTAAACTTTATTGCTAAGTATGTTACCATACGATGTTCTTCAACAGGGAGTCCCGATGAATGTTGTGCCTTATGGGATCGAGACTAAAGGTACCATGAGTATTATTAGCTTACGACCAAGATATCCTACAGATTACTGTAGTGCATTCAAGATTAGCGACGGATGCTTAATAGTGCAAGACTGGACCAAATATGTGATGGAGGAGCGCAGAGAAGTACTAGGGGGCAGCAAACAGAAGCGCATCCCACGATTAGGAGACAGGTTCATCTGCATGCTCCAACTTGATCAAGGAGAGCTACACATGTTTTATGTTATTTTACCTAAGAGAGAGCAGCAGGAGTGATTAGCTAGCTAGAAATGAATTTGAGGATGATGATGTGCTACACATTTACTATGATGATAAAATAGCTAGTGTTGGTGGTAATGACTATGATGATTATTATTAGCTAGTGTTAGTGGTGATTAAATAAATAATGTTGGTGGTAATTACTATGATGATGATTAAATAGCTTGTGCTGGCGAATTAGATTCAAGTGGAGGCAACATGTGGTGCACATCGAAAGTACTACTAGTCCAAACTAGATCAAGTTTGGATTAGTAGTATACTTTTGACATGCACCACATATTGCCTCCACTTAAACCTAATCCACCTTCATTTGACACACTGGACATAATGATGTAAACCTCATAACTGGTATTGTACCAATATTTGTACGATGGAGAGAAAACCGCATAAATACACTAAAAAAATGTATACTAGTAGCGATGGACAGAAAACGCGCTGCCACTAGTTTCATTAGCAGTAGCGTGGGGATGAACAAACGCTACAGCTATTTGTCCTAGCAGTAGAGCGCGCCGGCACACGTTACTGCTAAGCAATAGCTGTAGCGCCTTATTAGTAGCGCGCCTACCCGCGCTACTGCTAGGGTTTTCCCTAGTAGTGCCACTTGACATAGGGATTCTCCCTGGTTGCGGGGGACAAGGCAGAACAACTTCTTCCACAATCCGAAATGAGCCTCACAGCCTAGAAATAGTTCACAAAGGGCAACGTACCCTGCTATATGCAGTATGGAGGCTGGGGTAAAATTGTGCAGCTGGAGGCCGTAGAACTCCAGAAGCCCGCAAAGGAATGGATGAATAGGAAACCCGACGCCCCTTAACAGATGCGGAATTAAGCATATTCGCTCCTCTGGAAACGGATTGGGGGATCTGTCCGCTTGTTCTCCGCCATTATAGGTGGCAACTCCGGCTCGAACAGGGACCATGAAAGCCGACCGGAGGAGCCCTTGAGTTTGTACCTTTATCAAACGGCTATGAGAAACTGAACACTCTCGCCAGTCTCCCGGCTTGGGGCAAGGGGAGCGAGCAGAAGAGCTGTGACGACCGGCCATGCTGGAATGGTTTTTTCTAGGCGCTCTGTTGGATGCTTGCACGAGGAGGGAGAGTGAGGTTTGGATCTGGGAATCCCCGTCTCTTCAAATAGACGGCTAGCCCGAAGGGCCGAGGGTGGCAAATGCAAAAATGCCTCGACTCCTCACATTCGCTCGACACGTGGAAATGATCATTATTGATACACTGAAGCCGAGGAGTACAACATTGATGAAGATGCCGAACACTGTTCGTTATGATGGGAACCTTGGAGTATTCGGAGGAGGAACCCGCCTTGCAATGCCGAAAACAAGACTGCGCGTCGGACTCATCGTCATTGAAGCCTTGTTCAGGGGCTACTGAGGGAGTCCTGGATAAGGGGGTATCTGGACTGCCGGACTATATACATCGCCCGCACTATAGAAGCGTCAAGATACAAGATTCAAGACTTCGGCTCGTGTCCGGATGGGACTCTCCGTTGCGTGAAAGACAATCTTGACGATCCGGATATTATGTTTCCTTCCTTGTAACCGACTCCATGTAAACCCTAGCTCTCCGGTGTCTATATAAACCGGAGAGCATGGTCCTTAGAAGGCCGATCACAGTTACAATCATACCATCATAGGCTAGCTCTTAGGGTTTAGTCTCTATGATCTCGTGGTAGATCTACTCTTGTATTCCACATATCTTCAATATTAATCAAGCAGGAAGTAGGGTTTTACCTCCATCGAGAGGGCCCGAACCTGGGTAAACATTGTGCCCCTTGCTTCCTGTTACCATCAGCCTAAGACGCACAGATCGGGACCCCCTACCCGAGAATCGCCGGTTTTGACACCGACAACGGCGACTCTCTAAAGATGGAATGAGGTTCCCCGCCTAGCTCCTGTCCCGGCGGTGCGTTTCATATCGTCAGGGAGCGTGTCGAGGTGTGCCTTTGGCAGATCTCGTAAGATTCGATCGGTATTTGTCTTCGGTGGATCTACCTGGATCCGGTCATCGTTCGTCCGTGGTCATGTGTCTATAGGTTGGTTCCTCCCGATCTACATTTCTCTTCATCGGCGACAATTGTTGTTCTGGTGCGCTGGTCCTTTGGGGCCTTAGCACGACGACTTCCCAACTGTCTACTACAACAAGGTAAGCCCGGTTTCGGCAAGGGAGGGGCGTTGACGGCGGCACGCACTCTGCTCGCTTCAGTGCTCGTAGTCATCACTAGATGGTCTACGGACGTGGATGCAATTTCCGTTACTTTTCATGTTCTTTATAGTGTCATGATGTTTGATGAATAGATCAGATTTTTCGAAAAAAATATATTTGGAAACTTGCTAAACTTTTTTTCCATTACTACCACTGTTTGTACTTAGTGGGTGTAATGGCGTTAATCACGTACTCTTGCCTTGTTGCTTGTTGAGAAAAGACAGGCTTAATAAGCTGGAGAGAGACAGAGAGGGAGAGAGAGACGGGGAGACCTCTGAAAACCACCCGCCCCATTGGCGATGCGATAGTCCCCCTCCACCTCCGCCTCCACCACCGGCCGCCCCCCGCCCCTCGGGCTCGCCGCCGTCGCCGCTGCCCCCTTCTTCCTCGCCAGGACATCGCGCGCCGCTGTCTCCGCCCCGCCCCCGCCGGAAAGTTCGAGTCTTTGGCTGGCCGGCCGGCCGGCCGTCCGCCCCCTCTGACTGGTTGATTGAGGTATGAGCAGCTAGCTAGCCTAGGTCGTTTCTTCATCCATCCATCCGTCCAGCGCCGGCGGCGATTGGCCTCTAGCTGGCAGTGAATCTCGCTGTGAATTTCTGCGCAGATCCGCGCCCAGAGCCGCAGAATCGCGCATGATCTAGCAATGGAGCCGTCGGATCTGAACACGCACCTGCCGCCGCGGAAGCGGCTGCTGGCGGGGCTCCGGACGGCGGCCGCGGCCTCCCCCTGCGACGCCGCCAGGCTCGAGGCCGCGCCCGAGCCGCCCTTGCTCCTGCCCGACGGCCTCGCCGCCCGCCTCCGCGCCATGCCGCCGGCCAGCACGCAGCAGGAGATCATCCAGGCCGCCCAGCGCGCGGCCGACGCTGCCGCCGACGCCGCGGCCGCCGCCCGGGCGGCTGCCGTCGACAAGGCGGCTGTGGCCGCCAGGGCTAGGGCTGCGGCCAGGGCTGCCATGGAGTTCCTTGACTCCCTCTGCATCGCTGGCGCGTCCAGAAATGGGATCCAGCTGCTCAAACCGAAATCCAAGAAGAAACATGTGCAGGTCAAGCTCCTGTACAGGCCGCCGTCGTCCAATGGCCGGGCGATCGAGGGGGCAGAGGATGCTGTTGGTGGTGATGTCACTCCCAGGCCGCATCGTCGGCGCAGGGAGAGCGACGAGGAGGTCGCTCGCAAGCTGCACCGCGTGATGAATAGCTCGCCCCGGATTTCCTTCACTGGACCCAAGAGACCCCGCGGTATCGCCGATGGGAAAGACGGGTTCCATAGTGATGGGGGTGGGGGTGATGCTTGCAATGGTTCCTCGACGCACACGCCAACTGAGGTTGGTTTTGTTAACGGAGGAAGCTCTGTTGGGAAATCCGGTGAGAGAACTATCCACTCTTCCAAGATTAGGGCTCCGGGGGATGATGGTGAAGAGTATCCTTGGAACACTGCAAAGAGCAGTAGGCACATTGTTAATAATGGAGATGGAATTGGAAACCTAAGCGCTGGTCGGAAAGTGAAGATCAAGAGGAAGCAGCTGTTTTTGAACCACCATTCTAATGGTGAACAGAGAGAAGAGCATAAACAAGAAACAGAGCAATCCAGAGACCCTCCCACAGGATACTGCAATGAGCTCAAGTCCAACGGTGCAGAAAAGCGACCTGGTTTCGCAGACGACGCAAGGGCAGCAGCACCTGGTGGCGGCGATGATCCCGCGCCGACCAAGATCACGTCCGTGTGGAAGTTCAAGAAGTTCAAACCGGCGTCGTCGTCGCACTGCTCCTCCGACAGCAAGATGTTGTGTTCCTCCAGTTCCGCGGCTGAAACCTCTGCTTCCGTGAAGGCTGATTAGTGAGGTGAGGTTGTTACCTCATTAGCTTACATATATATATATATAGTTGTCAGATGCGTGTCCTAGCTATATATATGCTTGTTGTGAGATTTTGTATGTTGAAATTTTTACTCTCCGGACAGACAGACAGACAACAAGAGGAGGCCATATCTCTTGGTAGATTCCCACCTTTCATTCGATTTTCATACAAATGTGCTTGCTTTATAGTATATGAGTTACCGGGTATTTGTACCGAATCGTTTCTGTTCTGTACCCCCCATTTTTATATGTCAGTAATGATAGAAACTGTGACAAATTTGCCAGAGTTGATAGTTATATTACATGTTGTACTGCTTGGTGAAATGCCAAATGCCATATAAACTTGTAGCTACTGTCTTCTTGTGAGTAAACAACCTCTGTTCTTCTTGCCTCTCTTACTTACTTACAGTATATATAAATTCAGCTTGTTCTTAAAACTTTGGTCTTGGGTGGCTGACATAAATCTCTGTTTTTTTTACCTGAATAGACTCCTAGCGCAGCAACTATGTGAATCCACCCGTCATCTTTAGCTGTAGGGTCAATTTTAATTGTGTAAACCAACCATCAGATCCCCACCCTTTAATTGGGACAGTGAAAGTTATAGCAAAAATTGCAGCATTTTTATTGGAGAAAATGGGCAGGACCCTTTCATTCATTTATAACCTGTTCATCACATTACATGTAATGGTCCTGATCTCCTCAGGTGACACATTGAGCCAACAGGACTCAACACCTTGTTCTGCAGATTAACATGGATGGAATTACATGATAAATACTCTATAGCGGCAGACTTGATATCCTGGACAATGGCACTTATATCTTTGCACCTTGTTTATCAACGTCAGGCGGTTGAAGGCTACCCGCAACTTCGCTTTTTTGGCAAAGATGAGGGCCTGACAAACAGCGATAGCTTCAGCCATTTCTGGGCGTCGGATATGATCAAACAAACATCGATTTGCCGCCAATAACACCCCCTGATGATCGCACACCACAACACCACAGCCTGATTGTCCTGATCATCGATATCGATCGTAACAGGCCATCGGGCGACGGAGACCATTTTGAATTGACGTCTGGTGTCTCACATCTGTTGTTGGAGCCTGTCGAGCTGACATTATGTAGGGTAATGAAATCAAAATAAGCCTTGATTTTCCCTGACCACACAAAGAGGATGAGGCAGCGCCTTGGCATTGCTGAGAACAATCTCTGTTCTCCCATACATGCCACATAGCAACTGCCGCAGACATGGAATGGACAGCCCAAACTTCAGTTGTCCAGTCCAACAACCATATCTTGTGGCAGATTCCACAACCATATCTTCAGATCAGTATGAGTGAAATTGTTGAGCTTTAGCCAGATTCCATATTCCTTCTTAAATTCCTTCGAGATTTCTTTCACATATTGGCATTGCTGGAAGCATTGCTCAATATTTTGGTTGCATAAATACAAATCATATCTTGTGGGAGTTTAGATCCTGTAGGTAGGCAATTGTGTGTTTTTCTCCGGAGCACAATCTTCGCGGGCACTGGATCGCCCAGAGTTTCTTCCAAGCTTTCTCCATAGAATCTTGTTTTGGTGAAGAACTTTCACCTGAAAAGCTTCAGCTGCTCCAAAATTGGTAGGCCCTCACCAAAGCATATGCAGTGAGGCAAGATGGAAATCCTTGCACCCACCTGAGCTAAAGGCCTTTCTCTGTTATACTATCATCGGAAAATAAATTGATTTTTTCATTTTCATTCAAGTTATGCTCCTCCAACATAAGAGTTTTGATTTTTGATTAAGATGTACTCCCTCCGTTCCAAAATATAAGGTGTATTTGTTTTTTCAAAAGTCAAATGTGTGCATGTTTGACCAAGTTTTTTTTAAAAACATATCAATATATACAGTACCATATTTGTATCATTATATCCATCACGAAAAGTATTTTCATATTTTTTTTTGTATTGTGGATGTAAATATTTTATTCTAGAATCTTGGTAAAACATGCTCCCTCCATTTCACAATGTAGTGTGCTCACGCTTCCTGAGGTTAAATTTATTGTCAAACTTAATGTGACCTAATGAAACTTGCTACAGGGAAACACTTTTGCATCATGAAACTTGCTACTGGGAAATAATTTTGCATCAGTTCTTCACATCAACAACATAGTATTGCATGACTTCGTATCAATATCTCATCATAGCAATATCAGTTATATCACAACAACAACATAATTTCTCGTAACAACATGACTTTGAATCAATATGCCATATGCGATCTTTCATATCAACAACTGTTCATCACAACCACAACATAATTTTGCAACAAAGATTGCAACACATAGTAATTGTGCAATAGCTCAGGATTAGCTATACTTTTTGCAGACCAAGCGAGACTGAGAATGATGTTGTAATAGAGATGAATTGCTCTTTCGATGTCATTAGCATCCAAGTTTTGAGTGGCCAAAAATTTATCCATCCAACTTGTTTAGTCTTGCATCTTTGGGTGCGTGGAACTTGATGAAACAAAAAGGATGAACATGGGGTGCTACTTTTGCATGGGCAATTCACGGTGAGAGATGGGGCATTATTGGGCAGCTACCAGATGAACAACTGATACAAAATTGCAAAAATACAGGTGTTGCATAATTCAGTAGTCTTGTCCGTGTAGACAAAGCATTTTTTCATATGATAACATTTGATCAGTTGTTGGTGTAATATCTGTCTTCCTGTGTTTTGGAGATTGTTGACAGAAACAAGTATGGACTGATTTGTTTGCTGGTGCATACAGAGAGAAAAAGTCCATACAAAACCGAAGAGTATGCTGGCTCCGGTGCCAACTTCGAGGAACTTCACCAAAGTATATCTGCGATGCAGAGAAGAACAAGTCATATTTTTTATAGATGTGGAGATGATGAGATTGGTGTGAAGAAATTAACCTCTCAAAGTTTAATGCTGAAGCGAAGCATTTTGATCGGAGTTGTCCGAAGAAATTGATTGCAGAGTAATGGAAGTCGAAGACAAATTCAAGACGTAGTATTGTTTTCGTTGTTCTTCTTTCATTCATTTGAGTCATAGGACCTCCGTACTATTAAGAGGGGTATAGGTTCTCGAAGCTTAGATCCGTCGTGATGCTTAGCTCAAACCTATGAAAGTTGCGAGAGAAATCTCTTTGTGTTCCGAGAAAATACTTGCCAACAAGAGATAGTGATCTTCTTCACTTGAGGAGATTTGTCTTAGACAGAGGAGTTAGCATTACATGCTCCGCAAGTAGTGTTACTGTTGCGCTCACAATCCGATCGTTGGACTCGTGTCGTTCGGCCATTGGTTGTTCTCGATGTCCAATTTGGTCTTCTCCCATTAGGGAAGGCTACGACTATAAATAGCCACCCCGCGCCGGCTTTGTCCGGTGGTTGCTTTGCTTTAGATTTCTGAGAAGATTGATTTGAGCACCCCCTCTCCAAGTGATTTGAGTTTAAGATCCACCGAGAGAAAATCAAGAGCCCAAACTTATACATTGGTTTAGCATCATAGCAGTTATGTTTAGAGTTCTTGTACCTATTACTCTTGAGAGCTGCGCACTCTCTATAAGGATAGGTTTTAGCTCGAGTGTCTAAAAGTATTTTCTTCACCGAGCTAGATCTTCAGCAACCAAGAGTGATTATGGTTCGCGAAGGTCGACCGAAGGTTTGGAGATCGCTGACAAGCATCTACCAGGAGTGAAATCAACCCGAGTCCGATCAGCTTTCCACTAAAGGAGAATAGGGTGAAGAGAGTTTATCTTTCGTGTTAAGTCACAACCCCTCCAACCAGACGTAGCCTTTTGGTAGAAGTGTGAACTAGTCTACCAAATCTCTCTGTCGCCATCGAGCACCACTGGTCCCATTTACTACACTGCATTTCAACAGTCATTATATGTTCTCTATGTTGATAGATATCTCATCAGTTACATTTTGTTGCATATCATTCACTACTCACTGTGGTTGTACCATCATCCCTCTTTCATGTTTGTTTGTGTACTGTGATCTTCTACATCAGCATTGTTCTTTTTCTTAGTTATCAATCTCTATTCTCTACAATGATATCTGTTATGTTGGCACAATGCTTCACCATCGTCATCATTAAGCCTGTTGTTGCTTATGCTCACACAATTATTGCATCTTACCTTGAAGGTTTTGGTGTCCCTCAATAGTGAACTTGATAGTATTCGCATCTACCGTATATTATTTCTGCTACTGTGTTTGGGATCAGTTCAAAACATTCGCAAGAATATTTGAATCTCCCATTCACACCCCCTCTGGTTGATATACTCTCAGTCCTAACAATTGGTATCAGAGCAGGTTCTCCATGTCTTTGTTTATTGAAGGTCTAAAGTCCTTGGAGTTTTGAGTATGTCGTATACAGGTAGATCCTTGCACACTGAAAGATTTCCTATCTTTGATGGGAATGACTATCTCTACTGGAAGGAGCAAATGAGAATCAGAATTCAAGCTGTCAACTATGATATGTGGCAGATTGTGGAAAGTGGCTATACTATTCAACAACAAAATGATCCAAATTCTGAAGATAAAGCCAATCTGCAGTTGGATACTCAAGCAAAAGATATCATCTGTAGTAGTCTATCAAAATACATTTTCTTTTGGTTGCAAAGGCTCAATACTACAAAGCAGCTTTGGAATGCCACCTGAAGTTCTCATGAAGAATTTGTTACCAGAACGGATTCTCATACTAAAATGCTTTGTGCCAGGTTCGCTGGTTTCAGAAGTCTTCGTAAGGAAAATGCCATGGAGCTCACTGATCCATTGACAAACATTGTTGAAGGGCTTCATCAGTGAGGCGTGACTGATATCACTGACAGAGATGTGGCCGAAAAGCTTCTGAGTGCACTTGATGAAACCTAGGATCCTATAGTGGCTGAAATCATGCAAAGACCAGACTATGAAGAACTTCACTATGTAGAGGTCATGACTCTGTTGTCACTTCATGAAGAGAAGATGGAACTAG